GACAAACAGTAATCACTTCCACAGCCCCCGTCTGTTTAAGCGGGGGCTCCTGATACACCCTGACAGCCGCTCAGAGAATCCAACTCACAACAAGGTCTCACCATTTCAATTTCTAGACATGCGAGTATGAGAGTTTCATTTTTAGCAGCCATTTCTGCATTCCTGGGGTCTCTGTGGTCATATTGTTTTACCTGAAGATAAAAGAGCAGAGTAGGTTTTTTACTTCAGTCAGCAGAAAGAGGAGTTTCTGAAGAAAGCACATTTTGGACAACCTCCAAACTTTTTAAGAACTGCTCCTTTAGATGAGCTCAGAGCTAAAAGAAAGCTTCAATATTTCAGGACGGCAGCCTTGGCCCCCTGGATGACATCCTACATGAGTTTCAACACTTTTTTCTTAAACAACTATTGGATTTCACATTTAAAGTGTAACTCACCCAAAAATCAACCTTTTTTTTTTCTTTTTTTTTTTAACTGGATCTATGGGGTGCTATTCTAATTTTATTAGCTCTGAAATAGTTGGCTTAAAGCCGTCTCAGTGCTGCCCCAAATGGTAAGAAAGCCGCTTCTGCAGCCCCTATTGGTTCAAATACTGCTACATGACTATAACACTAACGCTGGCTTCCATCATCATAACCCTACATTTGTATATTAATAATTGAGATGCCTGAATAACGGGTCTTCTCTGTCTCTGCAGCACTGGCTTCGTGCTTTTTCTAAATCAGCTCCTTAAAGTCAGCTGCTTCAACTGATAAAAAGAGTTGCATTTTGGGTGCTGTGGACTAGCCTGACGTAGTCCTACTCAATTCTAGTCAGAATATGAGTCTGATACTGCTCCATAGAGCTGTGATTATGGGGCGTGTTTCGAATTAACAAGGAAAAAAAAATGCCTCTGCACTCAATTGGATAGACCTACAACCAATAAGAGCAACGGAGTGCGTGACGTATGTTAAGCGAGGCATAGTTGTTGTCAACAAAAATCAAAGCGTGCAGTTTCACGCCTAGAATAAGAAGATGAGCCTTGATCGCGTTTCTCTGTTCCTCTTTTAAAATCAATTTGCTGTCGATATCTTCTAGAACAGACCTAATAGCAGAATCTACTCACCTAAACTCTCCAGCGGCAGCCATTATTGTTGTCACCCATGCGCGCTTTGGTCACGTGGTTGATTACGTTACTGTTGATCATCTGTCCATCATCGTATAAAGCCCGCCCTGACAATTTGATTGGATCGCCAGAGAGTTGGCGATAATACTCGCGCTACTATGGAGCAATGCCAGACCAAATTTCCCGACCTCAAACCTTGTGGGCGGAACTAAGTTCGGAATGGCACCCAGGCTAGCTGTGGACGGCATGGGAGCCTAAACGGGCGCTGCAGGAGTTTATGTTTAAATGCTCTCACTGGTACGGTATTCTCGAAAAACACAGGAGGATGTAAGCCTCGAAACCAGTGGAAGGAGAGCAAGAGAGAAGAAACGCTTCGCACACACCAAAAGCAGCCGAGTTCCCCTTTGAAAATGTTTCTTAACAACTGAATAGTGTTTCATGCAAAGATCGATTAAAAAAACCAAGTATTTTATATCCAACTTTATAGCGCACATTTATTGCTCCTTTCTCTGTTTTCCTGCTTTCTGTTCTTAAAGTAATGAAATATTTGTGTGCGATAAGTCTGCATCTCGTTCATTCTGAATGCAGCAGTATGGGCGCCGTTTGCGCCAAGTTACAATAATTAGGAAATGTGGACAGTTCAGTGCGTCGAATACAAACCAAGCGTTAAGGCCACGGACATTTGGATATGACTGTCGGTGATTTAATTACCAGAGTTATTCTCCGTACTTTAAAACAGCTAGGCTAGCCGTTCTACTTCTCTCTTCTAATTTTTTTTGGGGGGCGGGGTTTTTATGTGGGGTGAGCTACACTTTAAGTCACTATTAAGACAATTGAAAGTAAAAATGTTTGGTGTGATTTTCTGTCATAATTTAGGACAGATGAGGTTTTACTATCCATCAGCTTTCAGCATCAAAAGACTTGAAACCCTCTTTAGCTCCTGATCATCAGTCAGTGGAAAGACTGTGGCTCAGAGGTATGAAACATGCAGAGCAGCCAGTTTTTCAGCAGGTCAACCTTTACACCGTTCACTGTCATCTAGCTGCCGTTCGTGTTTCATGTGACAGTGATATTGATGAAGTGCAGGATGGTGGGCGTTACATGGAAGGAGAGTCAGGGATTATTTTCTCACAGCGTTACAAAGTGTTGAAACGGCATTATTAATGTTGGAAATCAGCCTAGATTTTCCATATTGGTGCATCTCTACTTAGTCACCAGTTCAAAACTCGAATTTTACGCTAAAATTCTGCTTTTTTTTAAACAAATGTCTTCAGAAAAAAGTTCTCATTAATTAGCTGACAGCATCTTAAGCTCCATAAATATTATCTAAGGATCAAAAGACCTCAAGCTGTTCATGATAACGGGTCAAGGAGGGTTTTTTTTTCTTATGCTCATAACGTCTTCATTAAATAATTATCTATAAATAATGACGTATTTGAATATACAAAAATGTAACTTTTGTTTTATTCAGTGTAATGATGTCATTATCTCATGCTATGATAAACCTTGTTTGCTTTTAATTGTAATTATATTGCCTCATTATATCCAGACAAGGTCAGGATACTTTTAGTAATGATAAAAGTTTGTTTAGGTAATTAAATAGACTCACTGTTCTGTAATAATAGTTTTATGGTAATGATTCATTTTCTCTTCATGATGTCGATCATCTTCATTTTTTATAGCCATATTTTTTAAACAGATACATTTAATTTGTTCTCTCATTATAAAGGAACAAATTTCTAAATTCTTGCTTTGATGAAGGTTTAAAATCTCATTATTTCCAGATAACGAGCTCCTTTTGGTGTAAAGCTTTAATTCAATCATCATGAAAAGCAGTGATATCGATCTTTCTGTGAAGGAAGCAGAGATAACAGCTGGGTTATTTCATTATCTTCATATTAGATCACAGGTTTATTTTTTGCCCTTCGAATTGATTCGTATCTCCTACCTCTATATGCTGAGCAGAGTTTCATTACCTTATTAACTCATCACTCAATAATAGGATATTGAATTATTTCCGAATCAGATTTTGCCATGAATTTGACTACATTTATGCTTTTTTTCACCATAATAGATTTGTTTGTTAAAATTATATATATATATCAAGATACTTTCATTGGAGTAACAACAAAGCTCACTCTGTTTTTACAGTAATTATTGTTATCAAATCATTTGAAAACATAAAATTGTTCAATGTTTGCTTGTGAACTACATTATCTAATATTATATTACTCAGTTGTAATCGTAACATAAGATTTTCAACTACTGATAGCAGCTTAATTTGACATTAAATCCAGGATTATTTGGATGTCCTCCATGTGTTGGTATTCAATATAAATGTGTGAGATTAAACCTGTGCAACAGGTTATTGCACAGGGTATTAAATAGTTATTAAATACAATAACTATTAAATACTCTGTGCAATAACCTGTTACTTTATTTTTGAAATAAATATCCATCTATATAAATACTCATGTAAATACCCTGTGCAATAACTGTATAATAATCCTGCTATAAGAATGAAAAAAAGCCGTCATAAGTGTGTATATGTTTTATATATTCCATGAATATTTTTCTTTCTTTGGCACATTCTTCACCTTTGACTATTTGAGCTGAAATAATGAGTAAATATTTTCATTGTGAAATCAATAAAGTCAATCAATCAATCTGTTAATAGTTTTATTATCTCATTGTTTTGATTTGTTTAATTTTTTTGTTTGTTTTAGATATGAACATTTTAGCTTTTGAAACGGTTTTAATATCTAATTATTTTAACAGGCATGTCCAAAGTTCATTGTCGAGGGCCGCTGCCCTGCAGTTTCTAGACGTTTCCTACTTCAACACAGCTGATTTCCATTCATAGCTGATTAACAGGCTTTTGCTGGACTGCAATCATTAGAATCAGCTGTGTTGAAGCAGAGAAACCGCTGAAACGTGCAGGACAGCGGCCCTAAAGGACAGACTTTGGACATGTCTGCTTTAATATAGCTAAATGTTATGCCAATTATCTAATTTAAGACAGCGATGCTTCTAGCTGATTAAAGCTACGATCATCCACTGTTGAACAAGGGAATCTTGTTATAGATTACACCCAAATATCATGACTGTGAAAAAAATATTTTTCAAAAGTATAGTCAGCTTATAAAGTAAAAACAAACATCCAGGTTTATCACAGCAAGTAGAGCAGTTCTCTTTTTATAATGACCCAAAAATCAGTCTAAAAAGACTTTGTTTAATTTAAAAGTCCAATTTCATTGTATGAAACACTGACAACTCTCCTTTTTTTATGCTTTTACATAAAAAACCCATTTAGAAAATGGGAAACAAAGCTTCATACTTCGTCGCACTTGTTGAAACCGTGTGGGAACCTTGGTAATGTGTGTCAAAAACCTGTCAGTCCATCAGTGCGACGACAAATTAGTCCGACATTAATAAGAAGTGTAAGCAGGACATTAAAGCAACGTCAATCATTTCTAATGCGGCACGGGCAGCACAGAAAGAGTATAAATGCAGCCATTAGCTGTTAGCAGGAAACTCTAATTACACAGGATGATAGTTTTATGATGGCCAAGTCATCAGAATATCTATTGGTGGGGTTACTGGATCTGCCCAGATCAAAAATGAAGATTTTTGATGAACCACACACTGTGGATGTTAGACTTGAATTGCTTCTTGAAGGTGATTCATTTTAAGTCTTCAGTCTGAAATGTGAGCCTGACCTCCATGAACAGACAGGACAGCTGCTGCTGTTAACTGGGTGCAGTTCGAATCTTCCATATTCATGCACTGCATCCAGGATTAGATTATTTCCTTGCAGCTAATCTGTTGTTCAGCATCCAGGTGAGCTTGTTTTAGATTTGCTCTGAAGTTGGCAGGGTGTTCTGTCCGCGTGGAAACCCTACAGGGAGCCCAGAGCTTTGCTGAAGTCATGTAAACCCACATAAATCTCCAGGCTGTAGGTTTTCTTCTCTGCCAACAAAAACTTCCAAGGGCTGAAAGGCTGAAGTTAGGAGATTCAAGAGTCCTGCTTTGTGAATTAAGCACAATCAGCCTGCAAACATGCTTCAGTTTAATGGAAAGGCTGCACAATATCCAACATATGCATTTTGGTACATCACAGAGGTATGCTGTAAGATCCATCTGACCCTTAAGGTGGCTGCAGCTCTGGGGAGGATGGAAAAAGCAAGATGCTCATCAGACAGACAGCTGGATGTGCAGCAGGAGAAGATCCCAGTTTCCCTCAGGCAGCACGCCTGCTGTGCCAGGCTTCAGGTTCAAGGACTGACACTTCATCTTTCTCTCTCTATGGCATCCGAAACGCCTCATCTCTGCCATCAATCACGCAAAGGCAAATCCATGGACATGCGTAATGATCATGTGTTAATAAACAGTGTCACGCGGACCATTAATTAAGACTGCTTAATTAATGATAGTCCCCTTTGTGACCTGGGTTTCGTGCAACTATAACAGCAAATATTCAGGAGTTTTGAATTTTAGGAACAGATTTGCAGATTAGGAAAAAATAAAAGTGATCCATTTCTATCAGAAATAGCTCGTCAGACTCCGGACGTTAGAGGTTTACTCACCGTGTTGTAGCGAAGCACAGCAGCGATTAGCGGGCAGCGTTTGGATCCACGGCGGAGCAGTTTAATCTGTTCACATTCGCTCAAAACGTCAAAAGAGTCACGGAGGAAGACGGGACGTGCGGTCCGCTCGATCCTCAGGTGACAGAAGTGGAGGCGGTTCATTTACATGCGGCGCTCGACGCTCCACTCCACCAGCGCCACGATCGCACCGGCTGGCTTGACTTGGACGAATGACAGCAGGCGGGCGCTGAGCGCGAGGAGGAGGAGGAGGTGGTTTCCACACGGCGGACTTACACAGACGCACCGGCAGAGGCTCCTAGTTCCCCCCTCCTTTTTTTTCAAACGAGTTAAATTATTAAATAAAAATAAATAAGGGGAAAACATTTAAAGTACAGAACTGCTACGGTAGTTCAAGTCAGCATAAAACCTGCTGCACTTTGTTCCGACTGTTTTCAAGTTACTTTGCCACTTAGATTCAAGTAACTCGCTGGAACTATTTACACCCCACAAACTTTTTTAGTATTATATTTTATATGATTAACAAACAGAAATTTACAGGTGCATTTGTATAGAATATTAGAAATTTTCAGCAAACAAACACCTGTGTGCAGTGTATTTTATTCAGGGGTGGAGCTAGATGGGGGCCAAGGGTGGCCATGGCCACCATTTTTTTTTCTCTCCTCTAAATCCAGGCGTACACTGTGCGATTTTCCAGTTGCGCGTGAATGTTTCGATCGGGCCGACTTTCAGCCTGATTGTACGTCATGTAGTGTACAGGGGGTTACGAGGGGTGATCAGCCTCACACGACCACCTCCTGATCAGAAATCGCGAGGTCAGGAGAAAACCGACCGTCGTGGGCAAATCACTCAGTGCGCAAACAAGGATTCTTCTGTAAACAAAGCAGCATGGCAGGGATGCAATGAGTGAAATGGAGTTCCTTCCGTAATTGACAGACCGTAGTAGCCACGTTTGCTCAGCCATGTCTTTTTTCCAAATAAGTCATCGCCTTTTCTTTTTAGGGGTTTCAGCAAAAAATTGAACAGATTGGCAAGGCAGCGCGTTTATCTCTAGGGAGCTTAATATTCCTCTTCTATTTGTTTGGCTTCCAGATAGACGAGTCAGAGCAGCTCCATCTCACTGCGGAGCTGAGTCCGACGTTGTTTTTAGTCGTACAGTGTGAGCAGGTAGATCGCTTGAAAGCTGAACATAAATCGTGAACTTTAAACTTACAACGTACGACTAAACCGCAGGGTTAAGTCATACGGTGTGAGCAGTAGCTGCGTGCAACAATTGAAAAAAATCGTAGTGTATGCCCAGCTTAATACAGATGGTGGCATTAATAATATACTCAAGTGGAATATTCAAAACATTTAAATTTTTTGTAGTTGATTATACACATCAATATACTAACATCAAAGATGATAAATACAGATTTCATTCTCTTTTCAGAACTAGATTTTGTTTTACATGGGGTGAAGAAAAAATGTGTCTCTGCACATCATCTGGGAACCTTCAGTGAAATCATAGATAAATAACAATTTTAATTATCAAATAACCAATTTATGTAGATATTAGAACATGTAAATATCAATTTTATGCAGAATGTTTATTGATACAAGTAGGTAAGTAATGACGATGGAAAAGATATACACCCCAGATCTCAAAACTGAAAGAATTTTATCCACTATACCTTTTATTTAGAAAGCACAGATGTTTAAATATATGCGTCTATTTGTTAGCAAAGGCTGTAGGAAAGTAAAGTTTGTATTTATTTACAAAATATGGATGCTTTGCTTGTTAATTTACCTGTTGGAACAGTGTAGATTGACCCTGAGGTTCTGGTGCCTATCCACTATTGACCACCCCTCAGTTTACATTGGTTATTGCCTGGCCACCATTTTAAAATTGTTCTTTATATGCTTCTGATTTTATTCGGCTTTACTCTGCAAAAAATCGTATACAATAAACTGAATAAATTCATCTGTTTTATGTGAAACATAAAAAAAAAAAGCCAGCCAGGGATAATTGTCTGGAGACTGATCAAATAGAAATGGGAGGAAATAATTGGACATTTTGGCAAATGCAATCAACTGCATTAACATACTTATTGGGTCCTGTTGTTTGGTCTCACAATATTATTGGTCCTACATTTGTATACGAGGCCTGCCCTCAGGTAAAGAAGTCACACAACCTCCAGATTTTTGCTTGAGCATCATCCCCTCGATTTACTGGACTGGATTTATCTGATTGAAGTAGGTAAAAGGCTTCATATATTTTTTTCTGTGTTTATTACAGTGTCTACAACGTGTAAATATGTAGTTATTGAGAAAAATATGCCCTGCATTTTTTCTAGAGCTTGTTTTGTAATTGTTGCAATATTACAACATTGTGTGAATGTGGTAAACAACCCTGTTTTTGAGGGGAATGTCTTGAGAAACCTTTTCCTAATATAACTTTGAACCACACATACTTTACACATTTCAGCCCTTAGCCTTATATTGGATTATATATATTATTGTGTTAGAACCTAATATACAAAGATATATTGCCATATCTAATAATTTTAATTTACTTATAAGGATTTCTAACCACCTTCAACGCTCTGTATTTTTCCCTTATCGCAGAAAGCAGGGCTTTGTAACATGTCTACAGCACTTCTGCCCTTTGTCTTGGCTATTGATAAGAAATGTTCCTACAACATCTGAATGGTTGAAACATTTTTTGTGTTTTTCTATATTTGGGTTTTAACTTGAAATGTTTTTTTTAATCATCATTTGGTGGTGGTAGAGTCATGATGTGGGGAGGTTGATGCAGAGTTGATGAGAAGCTGGATGGATGAGCAATCCTTGGAGAAAATCTTTTAAGAGGTAAAAACACTTTGAACAAAATAATAATAATAATAAAAACAGCCAGACGTGAGAGAGGATGGTTCAGTAAAAGCATATTCATGTTGTAATGGTCAAGTCAAAGTCCATTTTTTTTTTTTATTACTTTTGTTTTATGTTAGCATAAAATTTTGTGCTTTAATTTACGTTTTCCTTTTAAGTTTTTTTTTTCCTCAATAGCTTTTATCTCTAAGAATTGGTAGTTTTAGTATTTCCTTAGCCTTTAGTTTACCCATTTGGGTCTTGCTGTATTAGTTCATTTTTCATTTAGTTTATGCTTTAGTCATTTTTCTTTATTTTATATTAGAGCAGGTTCTATCATGCCAGGTTTCTCTTTTTAAGATCTCTGGTAGTTTTAGTTAAGTTATGGTTTTGTTCTCTTTTCTGTAAATAGTCAGACCACGTACAGATGCCTTGTTTTTATTATTGCCACTTCTAGTTTAGTTTACATGTGATCAGTCTTTCTTCTGCCCATCTGCATAACCACATTTTTCAAAAAGTAAACGGATTTCCATCTGTTTCACTGGTATAAATTACTTTGCATGGCACTGAATCAATAATCCTGCATTTGACACAGTTCAGCCTGATTTACTTAGTCAGAAATGCAAAAAGACTGAGGTGGAAGCCTCTACAATTGCCCTGATCAAAGACAACCTGACAAACAGAGGGGTTAATTGTCCAATCAGGTAGTCAGCAGTGTAGGAGCACCACAGGGACCGTTACTCTCACCATTCCTTTTTACTTTGTCACCTCACCCTTTCAACATGGTCACATATTGACACCTTCTTCCTCCATGTTTTAGAATCTAATAGACCTCTTTGGACCAGCAGAGTGAGAATTTCTGGAGTTGGTGGTAAATGCATGGAAACATTCACCCCTCTAGATTAAATCCTACATCAGAGAACCATGAATATGTATGATCGGGTCTGTGTTATATCTGTTGCCTAACAACAACATTTAGCTTAGCTCTGGTGTATAATAGGAGCTCAGACTTTTGTAAAGCGGCGCTGTAGGTCATGACTTGTTCAGCAACGGATCCGACCCTCTCATTACTACATGGCTGATCTTTTGAAAAGGGCAGCAGGACCAAATGCTGTATATTGCCCAGGAAAATACTTTAATACATCGAGAATTATGTTAATAGGTGGGTAAAAAGTTACTGCTTTAGAACAACTGCGGATGCTTTTAAAAACAATATTTTTTCATAAAATGAAATCTTGAGCATCCTCTTCATCAGATTGTCAACAGCTTCTTTTTTAGATGCTTCTCCTTCCTGCTGAAAGCCATAAGCATCTACAACCTGTTGATAAAAAATCCATATAATAGGTTACAACAATATATAATTTCCCTTCAGGTTTAATTAATAAAGTAAAAAGTGGATCATAAACTGAATTGATTTGTCACAAATCCAGTAAAATACATTCCAGTTGTGATGTGATGGTTGAATCAATTACTGTTCATTAGTAGAGAGAGAAGCAATATTTAGATAAAAATAATACGTCCATAATATCCATCCTTAGCTGGGAAGTTGGAGGGGTGTTAATACTTTTCAAGGCCCTTTATATACACGCCAATCTTCTTTCTCAGCAAGAAGAGTCATGAATAGTTTTATGAGGCACAGTAGATGTGCACAGTTCAAGAGGATGACGTTTAAGGGAAAAAAGGTGTCTTATTAGTCAGTCATAAACAACAGCAGTGGAGGTTTCATGGTAAAGTGAACATTTTATTTTTCCTCTAACACCGAAACAACCCACCACCAGAAAAAAAAATAATACAAGAAATGTTTTAGAAATCTGTCACCAAGGACATTTTTGTTCAACAATGACATTTCTTGCTCTCTCAGGAGCGACACTAACATCTGTTCTTTTCGGCAATAGAGACCTTCCCCTCTGCACAGTCAATGTCAGATCTGCATTTTCTTTTCTTCAACAGGAGCTCAAATACAAACCTTCATCACAGTTCACCAAGCTGCTGTTACACAAACCAGGTGCGAAGAGGAGCAGAGGCAGAGAACACAGGAAAGAGATTCAGAAATTAAAATAAAGTAAAGGGAAAAATGACGGATTAGCCTGTTATCAGATAGAACTGAGACATGCAGAGGGAAACATCTCCAAAATGTCTGAAGACGCCAGTTAAAGATCAATACGACCATTTGCGTGTGAATAATGTAACAAACATTTAAACAAAGTACAGCTTTCTACATAATGACTCATATTTACATTGTTATAACTTATTAAAGAGGTAAAAGCAAATCATCAGCTTGCTTTAGTGTATCTATATTTAGATGTTTCAACACACTATTATAGATCTTGATTAAGTTAAACATTCAGATTCATTTCACAAAGTGAAAGTCATGAATTATACACACAAAGCATGAACTACTTAAAGCCTCTACTTTAGGTTTCTAAGGTTTCAAATAATTAACTCTGTGTGTACTTTATCCAAATAAAATATGAGTTTCATTGTTTCAAAACAGGGATCTAAAAATACAAAAAACTTTTTCATAATCTAACTGTTTGAGATGTACCTGCAAAAAGATAAAATGAGATGGAGATAGTAACAATATAATTCAGACTGTGATATTAAAGCTTTTATAAAGAAAGAGCAGCTTCACCTTTAGGTACTGACTGGCTGCACAGCATGGGCTGCTATGTCAAACAAAAATACAAAAAAAGAATAATAATCTAGAAAAATCTGTAAAATGGCAGTTCAGGGTTTGAAGTGCAGCATTTGTAACTGTAAGTTTTGTTGTTAAAGAGCTGATAAGCAGCTCATTTTGGGGGTTATTTATCAGGCTGTGTTTTTTTCACTTTAGGTAAAGGATACAAAACTCTGGTCTGACTTGTGGTGCAGTTCTCAGCTTGTGATTCAAGGGACTCCATCATTTTTCTCACTCTCAGCTCGTGCTCCTCCGTAGGTATGGGGACGCTGCTCTGGATCTAAGAGGACGAAATGATTTTTACGCTCAGAGACGCTTTAAACATCACTAGTGACATCAACATCCTATACAAGAGTTTTGAAATGATTTGCAAGAAGGAAACAGAGTTAAAATGTAACAGCGTCCAACTGTATTTGAGCCGTCAAACATCAAAAACAGTGAAGAAAAAAAAAAAGAACTTCTTAAATTAAACTGATATGGTAATCAGATCCTTTAATCATTTCCTGTATTTTGTGAAAGAAAAAAACAAACTTCAGCATCTTTTTAACAGAATTTTATGAAATTCCATTAAGACCTCCTGGATCAATGAGTAGAAAGTACACAAAAGTGCAAGATAAGCCAAACCAAACTGACAGGTAGACCAAGGACTGTGGCAACCAGGTTGTTGGCAACTCTGGAGGAGCATCAGATATCCGCAGCTCAGGTGAGGCAGCCTGGTTAAGCCCGGCGTACACTGCGATTTAATTCAATCGTTGCACGCATCTGCTGCTCATACTGTACGACTAAACGCAGGGTTTAGTCGCACAGTGCTCTGCAGCAAGATGGAGCTGCTCTGACTCGTCTATCCGGAAGCCAAACAAATAGAAGGGGGATATTAAGCTCACTACAGTGAACCACACTGCCTTGGTAATTTTGATCAATTTTGTGCTGAAAGTCCTAAAAAGAAAAGGCGACGTATTTGGAAAAAGGACGTGGCTGAGCAGGCGTTGCTGCTGTGGTCCGTCAATTTTACAGATGGAGCTGCATTTAACTCATTGCATCCCTGCCATGCTGCTGTGTTTACATCTGAGAGGAGGAATAAAAAGAAGAATCCTTCTTTGCGCACTGAGCGATTTGCCCACGACAGTCGGGGGAAAATCAAACATGTTTGATATTCTACGGACCTCACAATTCCTGATCAGGAGGTGGTCGTGAGAGGCTGATAGCCGCTCGTAACCCCCTGTACATTACACGACTCACAACGCACAATCAGGCTGAAAGTAGGCCCGATCAAAATTTACTCGCACGACTGGAAAATCGCCCCGAAAATCGCACAGTGTATGCCGAGCTTTACAGGACAGCTATCAGGCTTTATCTAGAAAGCTGTCCTTTGTGAAAGAGTAACAGGAAGAAGACTTATTTGCTTTTTGCTGCACAATAAGAAGTTTTTCTGCTCAGATCTGAACCCCAAATTTTGTTTCTCTTTCCGATATGATAAATGCCATAAGTGATGGAAAAACTAACACCGCAGAGCACCGCGAACAACCCTACCCGAATCTGCAAAAGATCTGAGACTGTTCATCTTCTAGGAGGATAAAAACATACAACCAAAGCTACAATAAATGGCTTAGAGGGTTCTAAACTCTGGTACTCTCAGTCCGAGGTCCTGCTCCTTTTTGATCTGTCTCTGCTTCCACACACCTGAACTGAATGGCTGAATTTCCTCCTCAGGCTATAGTCAAGTTCTCCAGAGTCCTGCTAATGACCTGAATATTTGACTCAGGTGGGTTGAAGGAGTGACACACATAAAAGATTCAGGACACTGGACCTTGAAGACTGCAATGAAGGAATTCTGGTTTAGATGATATGCAAGACTGGTCTAGTCAAAGTCTGGACAAAATTAATGGGCAAAACTGATCTTTTCCATCCATACAAAAAGTAAGTAGCTTAAATTGCAGCAAAAAATATGGATGAAAAGCTCAGGTGGGTGTAAATACCTTTAAACAGCTCTGTATCACCAAATTGTAAATATAAGCACGACTTAGAATAAGCTTCAATATCCAAGAAGCAGCAGCTGTAGCAAACTGCCTTCTGTTTAAACAATGGTGAAAACAAAACTGCTGCTTCTGAACATCACTTAGAACAACCGCCTGCCTTCCCACACTGTCTCCATGCATTAAATATTAAACCTTCAGATAAAACAAACGCTGATTATTCCATCATAGGTCAGCAGCAATAAAACATTAAAACAGCCTTTATGTAACAAGTTTTTTTTTTTTTTTTTTTTTATACAACTCTAAAAGAGAATAGTATGAGAAAAAGATCTCTGGTTTGATTTTCAAAACAACCATTAGGTAATAAGCAACAATGAAACAAAAACGAGAGCGACAATCTAGCAAAGGAAAATATCATACGTCTGGAAAGCTTGTAATCTGACGAACCAAACGTGCAGCCAAACACGAGGCGTCATCATTGGCGACCGATCAAAGTGGGCCATTAATCATACAGAAACGCAGACACATTTTCCACTCAAAAGAGGTTCAGTTAAGACTGCAAAACAACAGAGTACTCAAAGCGAGCACGAGCATGGACCCGACAAAACAATGACTTGCTACCACACCGATCATAAGTGCATGCATCAAACTGTGAGGCTTAATGTGTGTCACTTTTAACTAATGGAGATGGTAGCAGAGGGAAAAAAAAAGAATCAAGCTGTGCTGAGAAAGCAAATATTAGATCGATTTAAGTCTTTAGAAATACACACGTGTTTCTAAAGGCACACACAGAATACACACAGCGCAGGCAAGCTGACACATTTGCATGCAATCACATAGTTCATGATTCATTGGAGCACTGGGAGCTGCAGTGTGTGCCATCATCATGCCATCATTCTGTCAGTCCTCTATCTTTGAGCTCTTAGTAGAATGTTAAGTGCAGTTCTGGTCATATCTGTAATGCAAGATTCAATCTGACATCACCATGGTTCCTTTTGTTTTTTCTAATGTCCCAGATGGGCTCATTGTAAAGCTGACAAGGGTGACAACAGGGGTGCTGTTTAGATGGGACATTTTTAGTAGGGATAATCTGAGTGACTCAGCCTACAGCGCTCACTGTGGAGGACGTTTGTGTCAGAACTGGGATCACAACAGAGCAGAGGAAATTATTGAGCACATTCAGCTTCGGAACTAACAGAGGAAAATGACACAGTAATTTTTTTCCATCTATTTTCATTTGCTCTATATTTGCCCAAATTTTTCTAAACGCCAAGCTTTAGTTCTAACTAGAGATGCAGTAGTGACCAGATTTGTCTAATCTTACTCTTGATCGGCTCTCATTAGTGACTGTCCCTAAAAGACTAAGGTTAAAGGTTTAAAGCTGCTGTGTGCAGTCCCATGTCGTCCCTCCCCGCTTCCTTTGCTGCACCACAATCAAGGTATGTGGAGTTACACATGCAGCAGCTCCAATTACTGGATGTTGCTGCACCTGAGAGGAGAACCTTATGTTTCTGGCTCTCCCAGTGGGTAACTGCCAGATTCTTGAAAGCCATCTGTGTGAGTAGAACCTCCATGGTTCCTGGTTTTGACCTCCCAATATGTCGACCTGACCTCCCGATATGCCTGTTTTGTCCTGCTTGCCTTACCCCGTTGGATACCCCTGTTGGCTTCTCATCTCAGGATATCATCCTCCTGCCCTGCCTCTTGACCAAGTTTATCTTCCTCTGTCCTTCTGGAAACCTCTCTCGTTAGTGTGACTCTCGCCTAGATCTGTGTTTTTCCTCTTTTCTAGCCTTTCTGGACTGTTTCCCTTTGGGTGAACACCAAACTGACTACGGAATCCCCGCTAGCCTTTGCCCTGTATAGCAATGTCAGGATCCAGATCAGTCAATTAGTGACCCAAACCATGTAAATGGAGCCACTGGGGTCAATCATCAGAGCCAGTCTTGGCTACTATCGCTGCTTTCCTCCCCACAGGGATTCCAGTTCCAGTTAATTCCTGTTCCAGCAACACCTGTTTATTTATTAATAATCTGTTTTATAACACTTGTTGAATTATCAGGTCTCCAGATTCTGTCCAGATATCACATGATTATTATTACCTTTTAGCAACATGTTCAGTAATAATTGCGTTTTGCATCGGCCCAGTCAGATTACAGCAGTGGTTCTTAAACTTTTTCTGTCATTCCCCACTTTGGACAAGGGGGAATTTTCAAGCCCCGCCTGTCCCCATCGCCCCAAAACAATGCTAATGAAATATGCAACAATCTTAAAATGTTCCAATTTTATTGAAGTAACAAGTAGTATCTAAATACAAACTATCTACATCAAATAACAGCAAGCTCAAAAATAAAGAAAATAAAAATGCAGCTGTGTCAAAATTTGTATCAAGCTCAAAGATAGAAAAAATTAAAGTGCCACTCTGCAATCTGTTAATAAAAGAAAAGAAGTGAAATCCATCTGGCAATACAGGTCTATTTATCCCTGCATTAGTGGCTGCAATGAGCCTGTTTTGCATTGCACAGTTTCTCAAAATGGGGTTGCAGGCTTGATACTGCCACTCTCAAGTCATGCTCAATGTTCAGCTGAGATCTGTATTTTGTTTTCAGTGAAGCAACAGTTGAAAAGCCCATCTCACAGAGATATGATGTGGCAAAGGGAAGAAGAATGCACACAGCTCTCTGCCCGATGAGTGGATACTCCCTCTCCACTCCAAACCAGAATTCACTATTAGTCTGAGCATTAAACCTGAGCCTCAGGGTGGAGTCAGACGTCATTTCAATAAACTGGTCCTATTTATTTAAGATAAAATATTTCAAATTCAGTTATTTATGATCAACCTGCGCCGTCAATCCTGGTGCATGTGCGCTTTATTTGCAGTCTGGACGCTGAGGGTAAACATGCTGTGTCTCTGCAGCGCTGAGAGGGACTCCTGTGATAGCGGGGGAGAACGGGGTTGGGACGGAGGAGGCGCCCCACGGCAGCACCTGCCGCTGGAGGACAAGAAAAGAAACGATACGTGCTTTTAAGAGTCTCCAAAAGTCGCTAATTTGTCGCTAGTCGCTTTTTTGAAAAAGAGTCGCTGGAGGGGTCTGAAATATAGCGACAAAGTCGCTGAGTTGGCAACACTGGGGCGAAGTTTATTCCGTTACAAATAATATGCCGACGTCACGTCAAGCATTATTTTGGCACTTCAGTTCCAGGTGAAATTTTTCTCATATCTAATGTTCTTTTAATTAGACTGCATGTAGGCTAGTAATGATTACTTTGTGGGTTTGATTGGTCTAAAAAGCGGCAACATACAGCTATAAGGACAGTTTGCTCTCACACGTTCTACATTTATAGTCACACACACACACACACCAGAACTTGGCGCGCCCCACCTGTCACGTCTCAATTCCCCACCAGTGGGTCGCGCCACACACTTTGAGAACCGCGGGATTACAGACTTAAAACTGATAGAGAATTACAGCTACAGTGTGTAACTTTTAGCGACATCTAGCGGTCAGACTGCAGACTGCAGCAACATGAACATGTCCCCCCCACCGCTTCTCCCCCCCAACAGTACGGCGAGCGTTACGGGACAAAATGTCTTCCACGACGTCCGCATCACCTACCTTCTCAAGTGATGAGGTTTGTTTACATAGATAATTTTACAGATAGTATTTCATTAGTCTGTGTAGGGTATAGATTTCATGTAGACTTAAGATAATAAATATACCTGTTATTTTTTCTACATCGTTGTGACGTTTTGGCGATCTCGCAATCACTAGTTTGTTGGCTCTACGCTGCCGTAGGGCAAAGATAACTGCCTCCATGGCTGCGAGACCCGCTCCTATGTAATTATAAATAACGAATTCTAAGGCAACGCAAATATTAAGGTTAAGAGGCTGAGCTCGTAGATGATGATAAATAACATAGTTATGTATAATATATTACATTTCTGACTGTATATCCCTGTAATTATTACACACTGTAGCTTTAAGGAGAGCTAAGGCCTGGGGTAATAAGAAACAGCTCTGTAACTTTGGATGTTTTTTTTTTTTAATAAGTACTTTTAGCCTACTCAAATTCAATTTATTACAATGTCAGATATATTTCTAACTTAAACACAGAGAACAAAAAAAATATATATATATAATTTTCAGTTCCCAACAACTTCAAATTGAAAATCACCCAAGATAAACCCATGACTGCTATTTACTTCTTGGTGTCTTTGTGTATTGCAACAAATTCCAGTTTATAACACACATCTATGTGGCAGAAATAAAGCCTGATAAGAACATAACCCTCTATTTATTTTTAATAGGCATAAGCCTAACATTTATATTTCAGGTGGCTCTTTTTTTTTTATTTTTATAATTTACTTTTTGAAATGTTTGCATTGTTATTAACAGGGACATTATAAAAAGCTGAGAACCTGGCTCACGCTGCTCAGGTAATTACTGCCCCATTGTGATAACTCAGTTTTGCAATTAGATTGCAAGAAACATTAAAGTGTAATCACAGACCTCAGATTGGTTTTGATCTTTCGGTAAATCTGTGCTCATAAATTATGTGCAACACCCAGAGGCCATAAATTACATCTTTCTGCTGGCCAGCAACATAGCAGGGTGCTTGTAGAGAACGTTCCACAACAAGAAAGCAGCTGCCTATGGCTCCATCTGTATGGCTCCATTTTTTATTGTAGAAGGCAGGCAGTTGTCAGGATCCACACAAACTCACCTGTGAAAGAAGCAACCTCAGTGCCCGTTCTGCCTCCTGGCTGAGCTCCTTTATCCCTCTCCTCTCCACGGTATCAATCACACGGAGCAGGACCGGGTCCCACTGGACAGCTGTGTTGCTGTACTGCAAAAACTGTAAACAAGGCTCATGATCAGAAATAGATAAAAAAATAAAAAACAAACAGAAAACCTTCAACATGAATAGTAAGAAAATGAATTTAGAGTGTGAAGAATTTAAATCAAGGTAGAATTTTTAAACTAATTGGGTGTACATATGGCGCTTATTGTAGATTAATGTGTAAGAGGTGTAGTTATTGCCTTGAGAATACTGTCAGACACTGCGCTCTAAACAGGAGTCTTGTTTATTTTGCCTTTAAAACCCTGAAGGTCGTCATCCCGAGCAGTAGACTGACTGTGGCACCATAAGGATGACACTACATGGCTGAACACCTAAACAGTCCTGCTTGTTGTCACTTTTACACAACACTGCAATATATTTACCCTAGATAGTAAACAAAAACAGGATGGGTATATATAAGCTTTCCGGACTTCTTGTTACACTCATCTGGCCTAGTCCCAAATCACAGCTACCCTGGCACTCTTTTAATTTAACTATCAAATTGATTTAAACATTGAAGACATCTTATGTTTCATGACTAGAGATAACTAGTAATTCCCAACCAACAATTGTTTAATTAAATATTCAAATTTCTACTGCTCTCAACAGCTACTTACCTGTCCATAATACTCATCCCTCTTTACACTGGTGATGGTAACACTTTTATATCATATTTTAACTTCCAATATAAGGGATTTATTACTCCTCAGGCCAGGTCAGATTTTGTTCAAAATTAGGCTAAATGTGTGTGTGGTTTGTCTTACGAGCGTGATGAGTGTGAGAAAAGCGGGGTGCAGGAGGTAATTTTCTCCTGAGCTGAGCTTGCAGTCCAGGAGGAATCGGGACCAAGGCTGACACACTGCATGCTCAGCTGACCGAAACAGGACACAGACAGAAAATTCACAAGATCAGGATTAAACACAAGCAGCAAAATGTTGAAAAAGCTGTAAAACAACAAGAAAAACAAACTGCATGTAAAACATAGCAGCAGGTTGACCTGAATGGAGTAACTTCTGTGTGTCTAAATCTTTTTAATGCATGCACTAATTGTCGTGCAAAGACTCTTTAAACGTACGTTTCCTGATCAGGAGTTCATTTAGCTCTTCGACTGGTACCAAGTCATTCCTTTGACTTGGGTCTGTTGAATCTGTAAGGTTCAGGACTGTAGCTCTGGAGCTGGACATCCATCTTTTAACCCAGGGTTTATTAATCCAACTGACTGAATGTTTTAGGTGTTTCCTTTCCCCATTTAAATAAATGGGTGATTAACAGACTTTCACAGCACTTGAAGGTTGCTGAGAAATGAGGCAATCATCTAAGTATGCTTTCTGGAGATTAATCTAAAACAAAGGACGGTAGCTCCTGTGCACCTAGTTTTGGAAACCGTTTTCTCACAAATATTATTTTCCTTGGAAGAAGACAGTTTGGCTCGGCCTGATGATCCCAGTGGACAAGGATCCCAAACATAAAGCTGGTTTGGTTTGGATGAAGGACCAAATTTGACAAGCTAAACTATATCCCAGGCCTAGATGTCAAGCTGCTACAGCAGTTATAAACTATACCTAAATATTAGGTAGGGGGGCGAATGACAAAACATCCAGCCGGAATTAAGCTGCACGCTTGTTGATTGGCTGAAGTACAGCAAGCGAAGGGTCAAAGCATCAAATAATACTAAGGCTCTATGTCTATATTGTGGTCTACAGGGAAAAATTTAAACAGCAGATTTGAGAAAATCCACAGTTAATTAAAACTGGTCCATAAACCCTCAGCAGTGGTTTGTTTCATAACTTCGATTCCAAGAAAGAAAAGTTCAAACAGATGCCTCTGAGCCCAAAGCAAATATGCGCTTTATGTCCACCAAGCCTGAAACTTCTCCCCAGGACTTGTTCAAGTGTCTATCCCTATCTGAAAGGTAAAAGCGTAGTTTTTCTATTTTGTGTCATTAAAGAATTTATGATCACATCACCTGCATTCGCTCTTTATGTTTTTTTTCATACCTGAAGCTGGATTCTTTCTTTTTAGAAAGCCCAACAAGGAGCTTAGACAGCTGACTGAGGTTCTGAACAGCAGCTCGTGTTTCTGAGAAGGGAGAAACCCAGATGGGACATAGGAGAATCAGAAAACACAAAAACAGAGTCATTCATCTGTTAAGAGATCATTTTCTTTGGAGAACTTTCAAAACCACATGAACTTTTTCACATTCACAAGAAGCTTTAGTGTATTTATTGGGATTTTATGTGACATACGAACGAAAAAAGTAACATAACTGTGAAGAGGAAAAAAGTTTCTAAAAAATGTTTTAGATACCCTGACAAATTTGTTATTTGTAAATACTCCTTCATTCTGCTTTGCAGTTTAACTTGCTAGAGCTCATCTACATATGAACACTAAGTTTAAAGCCACATAGCTGAGTCTGGAATTTTATCATTCGCACTAATGAATCTGCTTTAATCTGGACAATTGTTTCTTTGGTTGTGATAATCAGGCTAGAAGCCTCAAATAGACTTTCTTGAATAATTATCCCAAAAGTATCCATCCTTCCAGCAAGCATGACCATTGTCCTTGGCCCCGGTGATGCTGCCAGCACCATATTTAGAGCAGCACTCTGACCATGGATTACTCATATTTCCCTAAACCAATCACGCAAACATTGCACGTCTTTTAAGTTGAAGTTTTTTGTCCAACTTTCCCAATCACTCTTATCCTTTTATTTTCTTGGAATTTCCTTCTCCCTGTTTGTTTTCCTGTCACACACAGCACTTTGAACGGTCTTGATACTGTAATGTGCTATATAAATAGATTTGCCTTGCCTGTGCTAAAATAAACACAAAGAAGGTTTTAGTGTGTTGGTTGTGATTGTTTCTGAACATCTGGAATACGTCATATTCTCTAAGTGATTAGAGGAAATATTGCTTTCCATGATTAAACACAGGCTTAAAGACCACTGACTGCAATTGTGTGTTTTGTCACCAATGAAAAAAAAATGTGTCACATTGACATATACATGCACAGATAGATCAGTTTGACATAATGAGCATTTCGCCAGTCTCATTTAAGCCTGCAACTAATGATTATTTTGCTACTTTCAACTCATTTTTCAATTAATCCATTAATAATCAGATAAGAAACAGAGATTAATAGGACAGTCTTTTACACAACTTGGACTGAGTGAAGCTAAAACTCCAGAGTTCTGGATGGAAAATCTTTATAGAAAATAAGCTTTTTCATCTTAAAAGGGACAAAAATATGTTATTTATTGGTAAAGTTTTGGCTTAATTACCTATCTGGCTGGGTTGGCATTTACTTCTCTCCAAGCAGGGATTCCTATTGAGAGTGGTGGCCTTAAAACTGTCAGTTTTCTGCTACATTAAGCATTTGCTGATTGTTCTTGATGGATTACTTTGTGTCGGTTCATTGGTAACAGAATAATAAACACACTAAGTTTGTAGCCTTATTGGGTAAAATACATTTAAGTTAAAGTAGGAATATTTTGATTGGCATCAAGTTGTTGACATGAACTGCAGTCTGGGAATGTGGAAACATTAAAAAATGTCCTACAAGCATATTACAAATCTTTCATAAACCAAAAAAAAAAAAAGTTTCCACAGTTTTATATGGAAACTACAGGTTAGGAGTGACTATTGTCAGTACTATTTCTTTCACACATTATTGTCACAATGCAGCTTCTGTTCTAATGATTCTTTAACGCAAAAGATAACATACAAGGGAGTCAGGAGTGCTCACTCTGTATGCTCGTATGTCATCTTGACAAGTATTAGAAAGTAAGGTGACAATGACGAATTGCAAACCGTGATGGCCTGATATGTCTTCAGCAGTTACATTCGTCATTGGATTGCTGTGATAAGCTGTCGAGGAGACACAAAGGTATGAGTTATTCAGTCTTTCATTTTCTGCTATCTCTCTGAAGATGATTTGAGCTCAGACCTGATGAAAACAAATAGATCAGACATCGTCGAGTTTCTAAACATAAGAAAACAAACAAATAAGGATTGAAATTAAATCCTTAAAGTATTAAATTTAATTGGACTCTGGAGCTTAGTTGTCAGTTTTGTTTTAATGGTGAAAAAAACAAGATAAAACGGTTTAAAAAGAAAGCTTAGGGAAACGATTGAAGGCATGTTTTACACCAAGGCTTCTCCTTCACCTCATGAGGTGAACCCTTCTGAAGTGAACGGCTAAGCTATCATTTTACACAGCAAAAAATTTTAGCTGTTTTGAATTAAGATTTTGCACAAAAAAAAATCTATTTTGTCAAAGAAATAGCAGAAATATTAAGTCTGTCTGTAAGAGCTCACCTGGGAGTTAGTAGCAAAGAAAGCAACAAAGGCAGAAGAAAGTCATGCTCACAGAGGGACAGAGATGGATTCAGACACAAAAGGGACAAGATGACATGGGTGACAGTGATTGAGCTAGGTTTTAATAATGCATGTAATCCCCCCACAAAAAAAAAAAAAAAACCTAGACACTGAGCTTGGCATGGAGTCCAAAAATACAGAAGTAGGCCAGGCCGATGTATAAGACAACAATGGAGCTATACCCTAAGCTACAGTCAGAAATAAAGAAAGAAGGGGATGGGATGGGCAGAGTCAGAGAGGGAAAATGTGTAAAATGGAGAAGAAAGGAGCTCTGGAGTTTTCCCTCTGCAGCTGAACCAGTAAAATCAAGGGTTAAGAGAGCAAAATACCAGAGGAGTGACTTGGGAACTGTTCCTCATATCAGCTTCAGAACAGCAGGCCACAGAGCACTGAACCATAGCACTTTAGTTTTTCTTTACACATGGGGGTGGAGATGGACCAAAGGTTGATATGCTGCAGCACACAGGAGGTGTTACTAACGACATACAGGCCTTGTAAAGGTATTTGAACGGCTAGAAAATCAAAAAAACATAATGTACATTTCTAGCCTCTGTCCTCTAGAATATTTTTTCCTTCTTCTGAGCAGTAGCTCTTGTGGATAAGTCTAACCACAGATTCTATCATAAACATGGTTCTACCTAAACCATCCCATTATACAGTAGCTCTGGCTTTTGACCTTTACTTTAGTGCTTTTTCTTCAGATCTTATAACTTAGGCTGCAGTTGACTTCCAAACTGAAGCCATGCCATTATACTTATGTTTAAATTGAATCATATTATTCACTCTATTAATGTGGTCACTGCTGAATCAGTTACTTCTACTGGAATAATCAGAGTGAAGGCAGATGCCTACGAAGGAACAACCCATTTACTTAAGTTTTTATGTATAAAATAAAATATGAATAGTTCTTCTTTCATGACACAATTATGTGCTATATTGTCTTTGTCTGTAAAATAAAAATGTCTTTGTTGTAAATATAAGATTGTAATTGTAATATGATTAAACTTGGATGTATAAATTTGAAATCAGTGCTAAATATTGTGATGGTGAGTCAGTTTTTTTTACTTTCTTGTTTCTCATGTGTGCTTCTAGCCGACCGCTTCCTGTTTAACTTCTGCTGACTGTGTCAGGTAGGGGCATCTAAGATTAGTATCTTAAAGCTCCAGTTTAGGGCTTAACAACTGTCTGACATTATTTGAGCAAAAATTTAGAATATCATGGCTAACCATTTTCGTCGCATCTTCTCCATGGCAATTTTCAGACTATAATTTTTATGATGTCAGCATTATTCTAAAAAAATAACAATATTATGGAACTCTTTTCAACCCCAGGCAATATTAGGCTAACATTTATTGAGAAATGTTGTAGATTTCAATGATTAGTGCATATTTGCTATAGGTAATATGTACCTCCATGTTCCCTTCACTTTTAAACAGGCTGATATATAACCCATCCTTCTGAAACTCAGATTAAACTCCTCTCTGTTAAATAATAAGAGTTTTTTTTTTTCTAAATGCCCTTTGCTTGAATCTGTGGAACAGTTTTTGGCTTGGATATTATCTTATAAGCGAAAATTATTTTCTTTGATATGAGGGTTACCACAAGGCTCTGTTTTGGGCCCACTTTATTTGTTCCTTTACAGTCAGTCAGTAGGACAGGCTACACCTGAATTTTTCATAAGGTTCCTTGACAATTTTTAAAAAATTATTAAAAATAAAAAGTGAAAGTAGAAAACTAAAGTAATTAATAAGGGCTTTTAAATAATCAATGTCTCTTAAAGCAAAAACATAACAATAGCTCAAGATCATTTTTATGATGTATGAAATATTTATAAATTAAGGTTTGTACCAAAAAAATAAGTGGAGATGATGGTTTCCCCTCGCTACTAATACTAGGTCACAATTTTTACATTAATTAATAAAAAAAAAAAAAAAAAAAAAAAAAAAAGGCTCTTGAATTCCTTCAGTTTGTTGGGAGCTGGAGAAGTTCCATCTTTCTCCAGCAGAGTCCGCCATGGATCCTCCTGAGCTGAGCCTTCGACACACCTGAGGCGCATCTCATCATCAGAGGATCCACAGTATATAACCTGCCTTCAGACCTTGCCTCGACGCCGCAGTGTTAAATCCAGTTTGGTTAGCACCTGAGCCTAGCATCTTCTGAGAACCTTTGTTGCTCTTGAATCCAGATAGGATTCTAATCCTTTCTTGTCTCTGCTTTCAGGAATCCTGTTTTTCTCTTGTGAGCTCTGGATGAGCTTAACCTGCCGAGCCTGCCCTCTGAGCCAAACCTGAAGACTCTTCTCTGGATTCCCATGCAGCTCTGGACTAAGAGCTGGAAACCCAAAGCCAAGGTCTGCCCTCACGCTAGAAGTAAGACGCTGAAGCAGTTATTGGACTCTGCTGAACTAAACAATCTCGGGACCCAACAGTTCCTCTCTCAAAGCCTAAACCGGACTTCTCAAGGTATAAACCTGAAACTCTCAAACTCAAACTCAACTGCGTCCAAGCTAACTGAACTATCTCCCACACAGACTCCAGTGAACCAGCCCCCAGGCCTGAACCAGTACCTGTGTTATTTCCATGTGCTTGTGAACAATAAACTTGTTAAACTTTTCTTCAGTCTCCGTGGTGTTCTGCATATTGGGCTTTTCAGTAACCCATCATGACAGAACACTGCGGCCAAACACAAGGCCCAGTGACGTCA